GTCAGGGAGAGGGAGAGGACACCTGATGGCTCCTTTCAGCAAGAGGACAGCCTCTCCCCCTCGGCTCCGGGAAGAACCTTTCCTTCATTGGTTTCTGGATCTTTGGTATCTAAACCCTCAAGGCAATGACCAGGAACCTTAGGGCACACCTAGGAAGATGCTAAGCTCCAGCGGGGGATGGGAGGAGTTGGAAGGATTCTTAGGGGCAGAAAGTGGCACTACAATCCCAATTACCCAAGGTCAAAGCTGGCTAGGGGTGGGTAAGCGTCACTGAAGTGCAACTGTTGACGTGAGTATAGGTCTACACTCCCTTATCAAAGTGCACAGAGTTAGATGTGATTCCCAATTCAGAAATTTTCCAATTTTAGAAAGGTATCGTGGTGTGTAAACCATACATTATGTAACACCTCTAATGGGGTCTGGGGCTGCCTTACATGATCAAATGCATTCATATTTCTGCTGTGCAATGTATGAATATCCACAGTAAATGGGACAAAAGCCATAAAAAGCTTCACCTCAGTTCAGATTAAGTATTGGTGCCAGATGAGGAAAGATTTCGTTTGCAGATTTTTCTTGGATTTCAGGCTTGCAGATAAGGGATGGCCAGCCAGCATTTCTAGTTCCATCTCTCCTGCCTTGGGGGTGGGGGGTGGGAGTGGGAAGCAGCATCTTGAGGAGGAGCCTATTCTTCTAAGGTAGGAGAGGCAGGCAGACGGTGCGATCCACAGCTCCCTCTTGTGACCATAAGGGGCAAGTCCTGATTTTTATTTAACAATTATTAGTATTATAAAAATGATGCCCTGTCACTTTAAACTAAATCAAACAAAACGTATACTAAAAAAATGTAAGCATCTCCTACACGTTCTGCACAATCCCACCCTTCCCCCATCAGTGCACTTGGAACCCTTCTATGTATGTATGTGCGTATGGGGGCTTATACATACATACATACATACGTATAAACAGAGAGGACACTGCAGTCAGTTTGTGGGTTTTCTTTTTTACATAAACAGAGCCATGCTGGACATTACTGTTGCCCACCCCCCCACCTCCACTTGCTCTTTTCACTTACCTCTATATCTTGGAGCTTTTGTAGGTCAGAACCCACAGATTCCTGTAATGGGGATGCAGAGTCCTCCAGAGAAAGTGTGTGTGTTGTGGGGGGTGACATCTTTGTAAGGACCCCTCTGAATCCCTGGAAGAGGATGTCTGAATTTTAAGAAAGGATCTTAGGGTCCTCCAGAAACTGGCTGCTTAATTACAGAGTGGCTATCCCCTCCCCAAATTCTCCCTTTCTTGGGTCCTGGAGCCCTTTTCTCGGGGAGAGGTTTCTCAGGAAAGTCTCCTCCATCATTTAAATATATCTCAGAAATGCTAGATGAGACAAAGTTAAACAGCCTGGCTTCGGCTCCAGCCCCAACACAAGCAGGGGAATTTCTCTAAAAGAGCAAAAACACCCTCAGAGGACAGCCAGGGAGGGGGCTGGGGGCTGGGGCAGGGCGTCCTGCTGCTCACCTGCTGATGGGGATGGTTTGGACTTGGCAGTCTGGGCAGGAGCTTCTGTTTTTTACCAGTGACTGGTGAGCTGCCCTGGCAGTCCCTCCTGTAGAGGATGCTGCTGCCATCCCTCCCAGGTCTCCTCTACTGACTGTTGCACCCAACCCTCACCTGCTGTGAGCTGGCTGCTGAGGGCTCACAGCTGCCCCTTCCCCCAGAGAACTGCCCTCAGATGACAGCAGCTGCCTGGGAGGTTATGCTCTATTCTCTTCCTCTCACCTTCTAGGGTTGCCAGATAAAATACAGGACGCCCAGCTAAATTTAATTTCAGATAAACAGTGAATACTTTTTTAGTATAAGGATATCCCATTCATGGTTTATCTGAAATTCAAATTTAACCGGGCAACCTGTATTTTTATTTGCTCAATCTGGCAACCCTGCAGCTGGCAGTCAAGGACGGACTGAGGGGGAGTAGTAAGACTTGGCCCCTTACCTCCAAGGCTGGAATCTTTCTGATATCATTTATGCTCCAGGACTTCCTATGGGATCAGGCTGAGGCTAGACTTGAGCTGAACCCACATCTTTGCTTAGCTTCTTCCCCTGCCCCATCCTGCTTCCCTCCTCCCTTACATGTTTCACATGAGAGCCATCCCCCAATAAATCACTTCCATGAGGCTCCCTGTGTCAGGCTCGGCTCTAGGGACTAGACAGCAGGCCTGCTTTTCAAAGCTTCCTGTTTGGAGATAATGCTCAGGGTTGCCTCAAAGGAGCAGCTCCCAGCCCTGTCATCACATAACAGGGATGGAATACTGCATTTTAGGTTCTGGGGCCTCTCACCACCTTAGACAGATGACTTAACTTCTCTGAATATGTTTTCTTCATCTGTGAAAGGCAATAATAATAGTGACATTGCAGAGTAGATGGGATAATGCAAGCAAGCTATCCGGCACTTGGCAGGTCTCCCTGAATGGAAACAGCTGCAGTTTCGTAGCTTTTCACTTCTGATCATTTTCACCTTCTTTGTCCTATCTTCACAATCTGCTGACACAAGCGGATACAATTTCCATGTGATTGATGGAGAGTTGTGGCTGTGGATGCTAAGGGACTATGATCTTACTTGGGCCTCTCTCTTGCCTTTTCTTCTCAAAGTTGTGAAAGCTCCTCAACTTTAGCAAAATCCATTTGGTACCAGTTTGCAAGGTAGGCCAGGGAGGGGAGCTGAACACAGCAGAGGCGGAGGAAGTGTGGACTCAACTCTTTCTTGGCTGCCATAGCTTGCAGGAACATTAAATACTCGAAGATCTGCCCCAACAACTCTGCTCTGAAATGTCAGAGACAGACACAGAGAGTGTCCTGAATGGCCCTGAATGAGCCAACTGACTCCACCCAATGCAACGCTGGGCAATTTATATAGAGACTGAGGCAGCCTTGTGTGCTTTGATTTGGAGTGATGTTAAGACATACTGTTAAAAGGGGAAGGCCCCCCTACCGTATCTCTGGGAAACTAAGTTTAAATATGACTTAAACTCATGCCAGTGGTTGCCCCTGGGGAGAGAGAGGCTGTCTGGGTAAGGGGTGGGAGAGAAACTTACTTTTCATTGCTTATCCCTTCAGACCATTTGAAATGTATGCCACATGCCTACAGTATCTACTCAAAAAGTAAATAAAATTTAATTGAAAAACAAAAGTCAACCAACTATTGTCTTTACCATTCAAAGGTATCTCTCTTATCCTAAACTCTGAATTAACAAGACAGCAGAGAGAATTCAAGCAGCTTGGAAGCCACTTCAATTTCAGGATCTGGTGCAGGACAGCGAAAATTAATTCAAGCTCTTTTAAGTCCAAAATACATGAGCTGCTCTGGTCTTTCCGGGCTGCAGCCCGGCAGGATGGGTTTGCCAGGTGGCTGGTTTAGGGGACTCTCTCCTATTACAGAGCATTATCTGGGTCCCAGATATTTCACACCAACTATTTTTTCCTCACAACTCTGAGACAGATGCGACTAATCACTCCGTGTGACGGACGGATGAGGAAGCGGAATAAGTGGCAAAGGATGGATTTGAAGCGAGTTGTGGCAGCTTCTGAAATCCAAACTCTTTCGAGAAATGTCACTGTCCGTGGGTCTATGTTGACTTCCTCTACCTCTCCCCCCATCTGGAACAAGCCCTGTCTCCTCTGAGGGGAGAAGGAAGGGAAGCAGAAGCCTCAGGACTACAGAACATGGCTACAGCCAAGGATTGAAGCTTCAGGAAATAGCAGATAGTGGGATTTTGAGATAAGAAATGAGAGAGAAGGTCCCAGCTGACTCAGGCTCAGGCTTGGCTGTGCAGGGTAACCCTTTGCCCCCAGCCCAGGCAGAATCAGCACACCCATTTATGAACTACTGCATTCAGTAAAAATGTGTCGAGTGCCAGGCACTGGAATACAGCGGTGAGCCAACAGACAAGGCCCAGTCCTCACCGGGCTTACACTCCAAGACAAGGGGGTTTACAGTCGAGTTTTGGCAGCCCCAGCCCTTCTCCCATACCCACCCCCCGCCCCGACTCATACCACACAATTGGTGGTAGTGTGGCGCAGTGTGGAGAGCACCATCTAGAGTCAGACGGCCTGCTCCACCACTTAATAACTGTGATCTTAGGTGAGTAACTTAGCCTCTTGCGCCTCAGTTTCCACCTCTGTAAAACAGATGATCATAATAATAGCTACCTTAGGATCGTGCCCGAGTTCCAAGAGATAACATATGTAAAGTTGTTTTCATAGCGCCTGGCACAAAGTACTTGATAAATATTAGCTGCTATTATTATTGTTATTAAATACAAACACTATGTTTCACGAGCGCAGGGACCGTATCCTGTTCTCCACTGAGTTCCCAGTATCTAGCATTTATAATAGGCGTTCACCAAGTACTTACTGAATAAATGCACAGATGAAACTGGGCTTACATGTGGAGACAGGACCACTGTCCTTGGGGAGTGCTTGACCTACGAGACGCTCAGCAGAAGAGATGTTAGATACAAAGTTGTTAAATGAATAAATGCATGGGTAAATGCATGACTATGAAGCGAACCCGGGCCAAATACACATGCGCGGAGCCCTTGACCCCATGCATACATCCCTACACACGGCTGTCTCCGGAGCGGGCACCAGAGGGCACTGAGCCTGGCGGTCCCAGCTCCTGATCCGGAGTGACGCCTGGGTCCTTAGAACTCTGCGCGGTGACGTCACATCCGTGCCTAGACGTCACACATCCGGGGGTGGGCGGCGGGCAGACACGAGCCAAACGTAAACAACCCCGGAGTTTCTCGGGCCCAGGCACCGGCCTCTACGTGAGAGCTCCAAGCCCTGGCTGACTCTTGCAGCAAACAGGCGTCAGGGAGGCGTCAGGCTGGTCGGAGGGAGAGCGGGTAGGCGGAAGCCCACAGCAGAGCGGCTGTTTCCCGGGGTTGGGCTCAGTTGGCCGCGCTGGAGACGCATGGCCACCCGCGCCAGGCGCGCATGCGCAAGGCGGGAGCGACGGCGGGCCGCGCTGAGCGGCCGGAGGTACTTCTCCGCTCCGGCCGAGGACGCCGCGGGCGGAAGGCGAGGCCCGGCCGGGAACTTCCCCGGGCTGCCGTACGACGCGGTGTCGGTACCAGAGGGTGGCTGCGAGGACTGAGAGTGACCACGTGTACAGAGCGCATGCGCCGGCCGCCAGGTGGGCGCTAAATAAGGGGCGGACAGTAGTCGAAAAAAGTTGAAAACTAAGTACCCAACAGTAGGCGATTGAGCTTTTAGAAAAAAGTTATTGACTTTGTCCAAAAGTTACATATTGAATGCCTCCTGTGTGCGATGCACTATTTTAGATTCTTGGGAAACAGCAGTGAACAAGACAGATCCCTATTTCTTGTGAATGGTACATTCTGTTGGGGAGGGGAGGGGGTACAAAGAAAGAAAAAGTGAATTACATAGTTATGGTAGAAAGTGGTAAGTGCTGTGAGAATAAAGTAGAGCAGGGGCATGGGGGGGGTGGAGGTGGGTGCCGTATTAGACAGAATAGCCACTGAACCAAATCGAGGGGTGAGATTTGAGCAAAGCTGTGAAGGAGGCGAGGGAGTGAGCCGTGTGGCTACCTGGAGGAACAGGCTTCCCAGCCCGCGGAAACGCTAGGAGCGAGGCCCAGGGGCGGGAGGGAAACGTGAGGAGGAGCTGGGAGGCCCGTGTGGTGGAAGGGGTTGAGCAGGGAAGAATGGTAGGACCTGAGGTCAGAGCGTCGGAGGAAGCGGTGGTACAGCTCAGGGAGGGCCTTGCAGGCGGCTGTCAGGACTTGGGCTTTTCTCTGAGCGAAATGGGAACCATTGCAAGGTTTTGAGCAGAGGCATGGCGTGGCTTGAATAAGTTGTAATAGGCTGTAGAGACTAGATTGAGGAGGGAAGGTGAGGCAGGGACACCTCTTACTAACAGATCAGTTAATGAGCATCCCTGCATCCATTAAAAAGGCTGCCTTCAAAGATGATAATGACACTATAGAGGTGCTCACATTTCTGTGGTGAGCCTGGTGAATATGCCAGGCTGTACGGAGGGTTTCTCAGGCATCATCTCCTTTAATCCCAGGACACCCTGCAGAGGGCAGTGCTGTCGCTGACCTTGACCCTGATGCTCAGGCCTGTGGAGAGGTGACTGCTTGGTAAACACTTGCCCCTTAAGTCTTTTTTTTATATACATAACATAAAATTTACCATTTTAAAGTGTACATTTGGTTGGCATTAAGTGCATTCACATTGTTGTGTGACCATCACTACTATCCATTTCCAGGACATTCCTTAAGTCTTCATTGTTATTGGCATCCTAAGCCCAGGAACAGTCTTGTTCCCCTACCTTGGGTAGCCAACTCCATCGAGGCATTCAGTAACACTTTAAAAACACCTGTCATGGGCCGGCCCCGTGGCTTAGCGGTTGAGTAATGCGCTCTGCTACTGGCGGCCCAGGTTCGGATCCCGGGCGCGCACCGGCGCACCGCTTCTCTGGCCATGCTGAGGCCGCATCCCACATAGAGCAACTAGAAGGATGTGCAACTATGACATACAACTATCTACTGGGGCTTTGGGGGAAAAGAAAAAAGGAGGAGGATTGGCAATAGATGTTAGCTCAGAGCCAGTCTTCCTCAGCAAAAAGAGGAGGATTAGCATGGATGTTAGCTCAGGGCTGATCTTCCTCACCAAAAAATAAAAACAAAAACAAAACACCTGTCATGTGCCAGGCAATGAATGAAATGATTGAGGGTCCTTGTTCTTGCTGCCATTCTGGTCGGGAGACTAGTGATTGGGAAAGAAGCACCCAGTAACTATTGCTGCAGTCCTGAAACCGAAGATGCTCTTGAGCGTAGAGGGCTAACACTACCACCATTCAGTCGGTCATATATTCAGTGTTTGTTGAATACCTACTCTGTGCCAAACAGTAAATATTCACGTTTGTTGAATGGATGGTTGGATGTAGCTCCTTGACCCTGATTTTTCATTTTCTCTGGAGCTTGTTATCTGGGAGTGGTTGGAACTGGGCTTGACCCAGAGATGTTTTTGTAAATGCTGGTCTGTAGTTATATGACCTTGGAAAAATCCCTTTCTTTGGTTAGGCCTCAGTTTTCTGGTGCCTTAAACAATGGACAATGTTAAGAGATTGCCTAACAAGGGAACCTAACTTAGAACAAGGTGTCAAAGAAGGTCTCCCTGAAAAGGGAAAGTCCTGGAAGAGGTGAACTTTAAGCTAAAATCTGAAGGATAAGTAGGAGCCTCCAGAGGGAGAGTGAGGTGGGAGTGGAGCCAAGGACAGGGATTCTCTACCGGGGGATCAGTATGTATGTTCTGAGTTCTTGAAAGTTCCAGATCTGTTAGAAATGGCATTGAGTGCCCATTCCAGGCATTCCTCTTCTCCAACCCCTTGCTGTTTAAGCTCAGTCTTTCACGGGGCTGCCAAATAGCCCTGCGCAGGCCTGGCCTCCAGCCTGAGCACAGGCAGATCCAGCATGGGAGGGGACATCAGAACTACCACCTTTCATTCTTGTGTATGTGTTCTATGTTGACTGAAAGTAAACAAGAAGAGGGTCTTCAGATCCCACATTTTACTCCTTTATGCTTTTACTTTTTTTTGATTAAGAGGCATCATACCAGAGTGGTTTTGATGGGGCTCAGGAGTGGTTGGAATCAGTATGCCCTTGGGCAGATGTTACCTATCTTTGCCAAGCCTCAATGTCTTCTTATCAAAAATGGACATAATAATAGCTTTTACCTCATAGGATGACTTTGAAGACGTATGACCTAAGGCATGTGACATGGTTCAGCACAGAACTGGGTACTCAGGACAAATGCTTGCTGGTATTATATTATTAGAATTTAAATAAGAGTACAGTGGTCTGGCATATATAAAATGTAGCAACTTCCTTTGTGTGTGTACAGGTAACCTTAGTTTGACCAGAATTAGATGAGTTACTGTACTAGGAGTTCTTTAAAAAATCAAATAGGTCAAATTCTCATTAAAAAAGTGAAAAATAGCTTGTACCTTGGTAGTTTCCAGCCCTCTTGATTCTTTTTTAAAATTATTTTATTGAGATCATATTGGTTCATAACATTGTGTAATTTCAGGTGTACATTATTATATATCAGTTTCTGTCTAGACTGCATCGTGCTCACCAGCAGTAGTCTAATTTTTATCTGTCACCACACATAGGTGCCCCTTTACCCCTCTCGCCCTCCCCGCACCCTTTTCCCCTCTGGTAACCACTAATCTGTTCTCTTTATCCATGTGTTTGTTTACCTTCCACATATGAATGAAATCATACAGTGTTTGTCTTTCTCTGTCTGGCTTATTTCACTTAACATAATATCCTCAAGGTCCATCCGTGTTGTTGCAAATGGCAAGATTTTGTCTTCTTTCTCATGGCTGCGTAGTATTCCATTGTGTATATATACCACTTCTTTCTGGCTCTCTTGATTCTTAATGTAGGTGTGATCAGCACTGGGAAAGATGCCAGCTCCAGCTACCACATATGAAAGAATAGTTTACAAAAATCCCTCCGAGCACCACTACATGAAAGTCTGCCTGTAAGTTCAGTCTCCTACGTTCTATTTTTGATGAATCTGAATAGCATGAAATTTAATGCAACGTATTTTTTCTTTTTAATGTTTTTTACAGAGAGTTTCAAGATTGTGGGGTTGGCCTGAATACTGCACAGTTCAAACAACTGCTTGTTTCAGCCCTGAAGGACCTGTTTGGGGAGGTATGGAATCACTTGATACATCAGACACTCCTAAGATCTTTGTAAGAAATACTGAAAGAACACTTTTCCAAACATCATTTTAAAACTTTAAAACCATGTTTGAAATTGCAGAAGCAGACTCAGAAATGATGACTTTTTGGTAGGTTTGTTCTAATATGCCTTCTATTTGACAAGGAACTTGTTAGACAAATGTTTGTTTTAGTGCAGTGCTGCTCAAAGTATGGTCCAGACTGGCAACCTGCAGACTGTTTTTTTACCCATTGCAAACATTGGTGGCTCTCACCAGAATGTAAATCAGCACACCGCTTTCTTTACGGAGAAGGTCTCCTTATGAAAAAGACTGAGCTGAACTAAACAGTGTGCTTAGTGATATTTTTGATGTACATTATAAAGCAGTTCTTTGTCTTCCCATAGACCATCACTTTGAGTAGTCCTGTTTTAGCATTCACTTGAAAACAAGTAGAGTTTTGAGAGAGAACAAAGACATGATTCTCAGGAAGTTATTTCCTAATTCATATATTCTATCAAATCAAAATCTGCTAAGCACCTCATCAAAATTAAAAACTTAAACTTTGACTTAGTTAAAACTTGGCAAAAGACTTGGTTAAGAGGATGAAAAGACAGATTATAGACTGGGGGAAAATATTTGCAAACCACATATCTGATAAAGGACTAATATCTAGAATATATAAAGAACTCTCAAAACTTAGTAGTAAAAAACCAAACAATCCAATTAGAAAAGGGGTAAAAGAGATAAATAGACATTTCACTAAAAAGGATGTACAGTTGGCAAAGAAGCACATGAATGAAAAGATGTTCAACATTGTTAGCCATTAGGGAAATGCACATTAAAAACACAATGAGATATCACCACCCACCTAACAGAAGGACTGAATAAAAAATAGTGGTAACACTAAATGCTGTCAAGGATGCGGAAAAACTGGATCACTCATACATTGCTGGTGGGAATGTAAAATGGTACAACCACTTCGGAACATGGTTTGGCAGTTTCTTAAAAAAACTAAACATGCACCTACCATACAACCAGCAATTGCACACCTAGGCATTTATCCCAGAGAAATGAAAACTTATGTTCACGCAAAAACTTGTACACACATGTTCATAACAGCTATATTAAGAAGAACCCAAAAGCAGAAATAAGCCAGATGTCCTTCAGTGGGTGAATAGTTAAACTATAGTACATTCTTACCGTGGAATAGGTTCAATAATAAAAAGGAACAAACTACTGATACTGTCAGTGCAAATAATCAGTAGCCAATCTGTAAAAGAGATAAGGCTTTACTTGAGCCAAGCTGAGCATTATAACCCAGGAAGGCAGTCTCCACAAAGGAAGAAAGCATTCCAGAGAAACATGGTTTTCAGTAGTTTTATACCTTTTTAAAACAAAGAACATACATTAAACAGGCCCAGGATATGTATTCATCAAAGTTTGAAAGAGGTATTCAGTTGCAAATTAGCAGGTCAGCATGACCCTGATGACAGGGAAAGGGAACTTCAGGAGTACTGATGTGGGTGTTACTGATACTGGCATTGTAGGAGGGGAAGTATGCATTCTTATCTTCAAAGAGTGCATTCTTTTACTTTGAGATCATGTTTAATGCATTCTTTAATGGTTAAAGCAGATGTACAGTGTGTGTGTTTGGTAGGCCATAAGTCAGGCTTCTTTAGTGCAAGCCAAATCAGTTTTAAACCAGAATAGCTACCCTATATACCTGAGTATGTGAAAATTTCTTGCCAATACACATAACAGCTTAACTGAATTTCCAGAGAGTTATGCTGAGTGAAAAGCCAGTCCCAAAAGGTAACATACTGGGTGATTCCGTTTATATAGTGCTCTTGAAATAACATAATTATATAATCTGGAGAAAGATTAGTGGTTGCCTGGGGTTAGGGATGGGAATGAGGAGTGGGTTTGTCTATAAAGGAGTGGAAGGAGAGAGCCTTGTGGTGGTTGTATAGTTCTTTATCTTGACTGTGGTGGTGGTTACATGAAACTACCTACGTGGTAAAATTGCATAGAACTATGCATATACACACAAACAAACAAATATGAGTGCATGTGTAACTGGTAAAATCTGAATAAACTCTGGGTTATCAATTTCAGTTTCCTGGCTTTGATACTGTACTATAGGTATACAAGATGTTGACATTAGAGGAGGCTGAGTGAACAGTGTATGGAACCTTCCTGTACATTTCTTTACAATCTCCTCTGACTCTAATTTTTTGAAATAAAAAGTTTAAGAAAGAAAAATCTGTGCACCTTCTATGTGTCAAGTATAAAACCTGGTTCTTGGGGATATAGCTGTAAACAAACAGACATAGCCTCTGCCTCATGGACTGATGGTCTTGGTTATTTTAATAGGAAACCGTGTCGAACAATTAATGGGAAGAATGATGAGTATTATGAAAGAGGAAGTATGTGGGTCCTGTGCGTGAAAGAACATAGTAAGCAATTGAGCTTAATGTCGGGGATCAGAGAAGGAACAATTTAAACGAAGCCTTGAGGATGAAGAGGCATTAGCAACGTGAGGAAGTCCAGGAAGAACATTCCAGGCAGGGGAAGTTGTAAATAAGCAGGCTCAGTACTGCAGCACCATTAAATAAAATACTGTTTTTTTGGAGGAGAAAAGCAGTTGACAGGATTGGTTATTAGAGTTCAAGGGTAATGATGATAATAGTCTGCTAACAGCATTATTCCATGCTTAGGTTGATGCTGCCTTACCCTTGGACATCCTGACCTACGAAGAGAGGACCTCGTCAGCCATCTTAAGAATATGTAGCAGGTACGACAGACAGTGGTACATTTCTAGTATAACAGAGCGGAGAGACGGATGGAGAAATAGAGCAGAAATGCTCTCTTCTGAGAGTGAGAAGAGTTTTGTCGTTGTGAGCTCTGAGCAGCTTTTGGAAGTTTAAACTGGGGAGAATATGAACATTCACCCATCAGGAGCTTACACTCTAGAGAGCAAAACTTGTGATTTGCTTACAACTGTAGTGTTTCCCAATTGATGGTCATGGGTTGCAAACTCAGAAATGTATATTTTAGAAACATTCCTAGTTGAGCTTCATTTTTTTCTCTGCCTTTGACATACTATGCTTTTACTTTTAAAGTTTTCTCATTTAAATTAGGTTTTCTGGTAGAAACTACTTTCTGGAGCATCACAAACAAAAGTACAAGAGAAGTGTTGCAGGGACAAATCTTTGTGCTTTCTTGATCTTTCCACAGTGGTCTTGTCAAATTATGGAGCTCTTTGACTCTGTTAGGATCCTATAAAGGCAAGAAATGTGCTTTCAGAGTGATTCAGGTAAAGACTATTCCTTCACATATTCCAAATGAGGCTGAGTAGTGGATCAAACTGCTTTTTAATATATGTCCCATTTTTGTGCTTGCATAATTTTAGTATGGTTCCCATCATCCACCTGGGGGTGGTGGTGGCAATCCAGGACTTCATTGCTTCCAAAAGTATGAGACAAAGTACTTAGATTTTAGATTATATGGGAGATAGTTTGGGATAAAACTTGGAACTCTTGTGGAAAAGTCTTAATATTTCATTTATAGCTTAATGCCTAGTGTCTTATATATTGGAATGCTCTTTCTGAGCTTATGACCACTTGTCGATCTAAGGATGCTTAGATGCTCAGGATGCTCTTTAAAATGCTACTCCGTCAGCTTGGCTTATTCTGTAAAACTGGGCATGTTTCTACATTGTTCTGTGTTTCAGTGCAGTTTTCTCCTGATATTGCATTAACTTTTTTCTTTCTCTTATAGGTTTCTCCATTTCTCCTTGCATTATCTGGTAATAGTAGGGAACTAGTATTGGATTGAGTAGTCTTCAATTTCAGCAACATTCCTCTGCTCTCAAAAGAACTTTTTGGTACCAGCATAATGTTTGAAGACTGAAGCAGGCTAAAAGCTCCTGTTGGTGGAATTTGGGGGTGCTGCAAGATGTTCCCAGTAATTTCCAGCCATTGCCTTTGGTGGGGTGGGCTTCAGAGGAGAATCCGCCTAAACCAAGCAGTGTTAAGCAGGCAGCACTTGCAGCATATGCACATCAGAGTTGGAGACCGGGCTGAACTCAGCAGGGCTTTCACACAGAGGGACGTGGCTACCTTCTCAGAATTAACGGGAGATGTCAATCCTTTGCATTTAAATGAAGATTTTGCAAAACACACCAAGTTTGGAAAGACAATTGTACATGGAGTTTTGATCAATGGACTTATTTCAGCTCTACTGGGTACTAAAATGCCAGGGCCAGGTTGTGTATTTCTTTCCCAGGAAATTAAATTTCCAGCCCCTTTATATGTTGGAGAAGTTGTTTCAGCTTCTGCAGAAGTGAAAAAGCTGAAGCGGTTCATTGCTGTTATTGCGGTGTCATGTTTTGTAATAGAAAGTCAAAAGACTGTTATGGAAGGCTGGGTTAAAGTTATGGTCCCAGAAGCTCCCAAATCCTGAAATATGTGTTTAAAGATGCAAATTCAGGCATTAATATTATTGTTATTGAAGAGTCTCTGAGGAAAACAGGGATTGCTGCTTTTCACCAAGGAGTGGCTGAGAGATCCAGAAACCCATACTGGGGGAGGGGAACACGTGGAGGGGTGTTCAGATGTCTACTTTCCAATTTGGCCTTATGCTTCACACGGATGTGAGTATATTCATCATTTGTCTAGGTTTTTAAAAATGACAAAAGTATTGGGAAATTTTTCATTTAGCTAAAGGTTCTACTTTTAGGATTTGAAACCTAGTTAGATTTGCATAAAGGTAATAAACCTACCTATATCTGTGTAGAATATAAGTTTCTCACTGCATTTGTAACTAGCTGGCATTTAATTATTGAAGGCAACGATAGAAGTTGGGTCATCTTTGAGCACCTACCTTTTACCGGTAAATATTCTTAGTTCCTGTTTTTCAGTAGTTTCCAGGTCAGAGTTTATTGTAATTTGTTACTGTTTACACCAAGCTGGCATCTTGCTCAACCTTCAGTGGCACTTGCCTTTCACATGGTTTTCCTGAATTGAGAGAAGGGCTTGTGTGCAGGTTTGGACTCAGTTATGTAAAATCTTTCAGCCTAGCTACAAGTAGCTAAGCCGAGGCCTAGCCTGTAAATAGTAGCTAACTGTTATTGTCCATTCTCCCCTGTGAATGAGATTAGAGGTTGTCCAGAGTTTAAAGCTAACTGGCCCACAGTTAAACAGAAAACAGACCAATCTTTCAGGACGTCAACCAATCTCTATTGGTATTCTAAACCTGGAACAGATCTTGAATGCAAAGTTTCTATTTTAGTAATCCAGATTATTTTTTCCCTCCCTTGAAAATATTGTGGGTTGTTCCCCCCCATTATATAAATAATGTTTGTGTGTTGTAAAATATTAAAAGAAATAAAAAGTATAAGGAACACATGGAGGCCAGCTTCTTAAGAGCTGAGGGGTATTGAAGACATTGTGCCTCATGTGTTAGTACTAAATGGTCATCTCCAACACAGCCATCACTTTTAAGACAAGAATCTGTAATGGAACATACATGTGGTCTACCTGTGCTCTTTGGTTTTAGACAGTGTCTCTAAACCACAGCTAGATGCTTTGATCAGGAAGGTAAGATCAAGTTTAATTGGTTGGATCAACCCATGTTACCTGGAAAAAAGGTTTTTCTCCTGCTGGTGGATCAGTAACTAGATTTTTAATTTATTTATTTATTTTACATCAAGGGATCAGTTAAATGGATTACTAGAAAGAATTATTCTAGTCACTAGAGGGCAGTGATGCATATAAATAAAGTGTTTTAAAATGGTTTAATATTGTACCATACTCTAGTTTGTGACGGTGAGATGAAAAGACCAAAATCCATGTGAGAAGCAAGGATGCCATTCTCATGAGTTTCAGAACAGGCAGCATGTGCAGGCTCAGATCCACCTGAAGAAAGCTTATTTACAAGTGAAATACTACACATGCTGAAAATTTGATATAACACTGGAAAACGAAGTGGGGAACTTGAGGCACAAAAGAGGGACTCGAAGCCGAGACTGCCTACTCCTGCAGAACTCATTCTCTGGCCTTGGCAGCAGTCTTGAAGTAGAGTCCATAAATGGAGGGTAATGTGATCATCAACACTGATAGCTACTATTTTTTCAAGGTCTGATGAGCCAGTTTTCTACATAAACTAATCCTGGAAACAACGTTGTGAAGTTAAGTTAACGTTGTTCCATTTTATAGGTGAGAAGACAGTCTGATGCTGTGTGACTTGCCCAAGGTTGTACAGTTAGCGTGCAGTAGAGCTGAGATTCAAACTGGGGCCTGCCTTGCTCCAAAGCATTTCTTTTTTCTATCACCCTTGGATCTTACAATGTTGCTATTACAGGAGCACTGTCAGTTTCTATAATAGTATCTTGTTATGTGGCATTAAAGTATTTGGAACCACCATTCTATAGAATTCTTTTTATATTCAGAATGTGCTAGATCTTATTCCCTGCTACAGTTGTAGCGTTTTCCTATATACTATTACTTGATGGCTTCCACCCATACCTATCTCCTATCCTTTTTCTAAGTTGACATTCAGTGATTATTTGTCTTCAGAGCAGAATTACTGAAAGAGTTATTCTAAAGATGAAGAATTATGTTCAGGCCAAGTCCAGTGGGGAGGGAGGGATGTCAGATCTGGCTGATAGTGATTTATGCTGTGTAACTCAGAAGTAGCTTCTCAACAGGAGCATTTGCATGTTTTTAATGCTCCCTAGGTGTCGTGGTCGTCTTTGATCTCTGTAAATCAATAAAAAGTTGGAATAGAGAAGTAGGCAAGAAGTTAGGGATACTTCTCTGTAAAGGATGACTTGTTATTTTTACTCAGAGCCAAGATTCTCAAACCACTCATGCTTTGTTAAAGCTGGCTATATGGAAAACTGGCTGGTCATTTTGAACCTTGTATGAGCTGCCAGAAGGAATGACTTTTCAAGTGAAAGCATGGGTGACCCTCAAATTAGGAAATCCTCTCCCAGACAACTGAGACGTGGCCTTGACTGTACTTGGTCACATGAGGAATTGAGTACAAAAGTACTGACTAAAATAGCAGGCCGAATTATACTAGGACTTTCCACATAGGGGCATTATAAGACTAATTTATGCAATATTTTATTGCCACAGAAAGATATACCCATCTTAAGCAATTTCAGCCTAATGTACTGGAAAATTGCTTAACAGATTTTTATATTCTATTAGAAACATTTCCATATTGGTGAAATGCCGCTCATTTCTTTTTCTGAGCAGCAAATTTTGAGTAGCAACGGGGACAAGGCCTCACCACAGCCACCATTCATCTTGTGTACCTGACCTGTGCATTCATCTAGAAAAAGAAGAAATTGCTAAATGAACACTGGTACTTCTTAGGTAACCACTGATTTTCATTTTGTGCTGAATTATTAGTCATTTTTATTTTATGTTCTTAGAGTATGATTCATAGACCAATTTATTCCCAAAGAAAATTGCTATTAAATTACATCTATAATAGTTTTTATATTAAAACATACTCTACCAAAGGTTGACTGTCACTCTGAGCAGCTGTGCCACTCTGAATGCCTCATGTGTTGGCATAATTTATTAACTGGCTCTATCTGAGCAGAATAGGAGTGCTGTGGAATTACGTTTGGGCTGTACTTGACTATCTCCAGGGTCCCAGATGTTTCACTTCCTTTGTTCTTGGCTTGTCTTCCTTTGGATTACAAACAGCAGAAACAAGAATTCTCAACATCTTCGGAGAAATTTTCGGTTGGAGCAAAATCAACTAGAAGAAACCATTTAAGTTTAAAATCATAAGAAAACCCGAGACTAACATTGACACTACATACGCAGAACAGGATTAATAGGGGGGCCCACAAACAGTCAACTTCTAGGGCATAATCAATTTCTAGGGTGGCTCTTAGCTATACAGAGTTCATATGACCTTCTTATAAACCCTGGGCAAAATTCTGCTATGTGATGGAAAAATATCAACACGTAAGGGAGATAAGAATGATCAAATGTGAGTTGAATTTTATTGTTTTCTCTCCAGATCATGAATATTTAAAGAAAGAAAATTTTGAGTTGGGAGGCGATGCTGCTTAGGAAGCACTGAGTTTTTCACAAGCTTCTATGATTTGATTTGTAAAGCAGTTGCCAGGTCTTTAGATAACCTGTGGGGCATCTAAACGCTTGGCAACATACACGAATATAATTTTTTTTACTGCTAGCCCTGAGTAGTTGTGTATGTGGCAAAAACTGAAGTGCCACGTACCTCATTAGCGTTACTCAGCCTGAGACTGGAAACAAAGCTGATTTGATTCAGATCAGCTCTGGCCTGGGGAGGGTCTCCCCACATTCAGCATGAGCCATTTCAAAAGCCAAATGGATGTTGAGGCTGTAGGGTTTGGGGCCTGGTCTCCAGAGGATCTAGGGATCCAGTTAAGTCTCGGATCCTCAGGGGATCACTGACAAGGCACTGATTTGGGTTGATGAAAATGCAGTTAGAAGGCTCACCATTGTATTTATTCTGAGTGGCTTACTTCAGGCAAGAATTTCCCGAGAAAGGGAAAGGCTCCATTGTGAGTTAGTCTCTGGCTTCACTCCCTCAAATATCTGATTTCTCACTTTCGGTTTCCTTTTCCTAGTAAGGAAGACTAGACAAGGTTGCTATTTTAGGATTTTTGCAACTCAGTTGTATGATTTTTTTTTTCATAATCAACAAATAAAATATCGTTATTAGAGACATTTTGAAAAATATAGAAAAGCATAAAAATAAAAAGCATCATGGTCCCACTTCCTAGAGACCCTCAGTTAATATTTTGGTGTGTTTCCTTCTGGTGTTTTTCCTATAAATATATTTTTTAAACTTGAGATAATACAAATGCATGTATTGCCTGTTTCACTTACAGTGCTATTGTTAAAAAATAAATAACAGGCCCAAAATGGAATCATTTGCCTCCAGGAAAACAAACCAAGACTTAATTACAGTTTCAACGGATCCCAGGAATGTGACCTTTTTAACAATCAACCTGAAATTTCCTGATGAGCACTAGTGAGGTAATCTGCATGATAAAACCCCTTCCCCCAAAAGGAGAAGTCCTGGCCTGAAACAATGCTTTCTTTTCTTCAGCTAGTAACTTCCTTGCCCAACTCTCTCTCTGCCCATAGAAACCTTCCATTTTGTACAATTCCTGGAGAATCTCTCTACTTGCCAGGAGGGATACTGCCCCCTTCATGAATTGTTTAATAAAGCCAATTAGATCTTCAAATTACTCAGTTGAATTTTTTTTTCACACTATTATATCAAGAGCATTTCCCAACATCATTAAATATTCTTTGAGGGCTGGCCCTGTGGCTTGGTGGTTAAGTGCGCGCGCTGCAATGCTGGTGGCCCGGGTTCGGATCCCAGGTGCGCATCGAGGCACCACTTCTCCGTCCATCCTGAGGCCGAGTCCCACATACAGCAACTAGAAGGATGTGCAGCTATGACATACAACTATC